TCTAATTTCGGTCACTCATGCATTTAAGCCTAGCTCCTAAGACCTGGTAATATGAAGCGGAGGACAAAGCGACTTCGCAACCCTGCCCTTTGCAGTGGTAGTCACTTTGCCGTGATGGACAAACAGACGAAAGAGGCTCCACAAGCCAAGCAGAAATCCTCAATCGTCAAAATAAATCCTCCCAACCGTGATAAAGGGAGAATGTGAGAGCTCATGATGCTAAAAGATGAAAAGAAAAAATGCACAGCCTGCTAGCCCCGGTCTGATATGGTTAGTTTATATGTGAGGAGGGGCACAATTGGTGCCAACTACACATTTATATATCGGTTTGCGCGCCTGCATTTGTGCTGGCGCATTTGTCTCGCTTGGATATTCACACATACAGGTTACATTAGTCCTCTCGTGAATTGCCTGCCTGACGGTCGGGTAAACAGAAAAACGAGACGTACTGCAAAAAAGACGAGAGAGCTGATAATGGACAAACGGTGATGATATATCCTGCATGTGATGGTTAAACCAGATTTTATACAAGACAGCGGTACCACTTTTAGCCTCGGGCTCCACAATCTAAGGCGAGGTAAATAGATAGTCCCGGTGCTCTTGCGCAACGGATCGACGAACAGAGGGCTGTAAATCCTGGCTCCATAAAAGTGATGCAGTTAGCAGTTTCCGTGCAGGCTCAGAGACTCATCGCTACATCCCTAAAAGTCCCGCGTGGTGGGCTTGTTGTTGCTGTTGCTGGTACTGTTGCTGTTGCGCCAACATCGATGTGATTATGTTCTGCTGCTGCTGGTGCAGACCAGCCCCACCAGCTGAGTGGTATCCAACAGTGAGAGGAGATGACAAGGGCGGCGGTGGCGGCGGCAACGAAGGCACGTACGCCGTACACAACATTCGAGCTTCAAATCTGGCCGGCGAATTGGGGCCCATCAGATGGAGTCCACTGGGACTCATGCTGGAGACTGGAGAGGTAGGAGGCGGGGTGGCATACGCGAGGCTGGGATACACGGCCTCCAGACTAAGCGCGGACGCGGGTGGATTCGGTGGGGGCGGCGGTGGTGGTTGCTGTGGTGGCAGTAAGGAGGACACTGGAGGTGGTGGTGGCGTAGACAGTTGTGGGGAACGAAGGTTTGCTGCTGTAGGAAGAGCCATTTCGTAGGCCAACAGCCCGGTGGCGCCCGGCACCGAAGGCGGCAGCGGTGGCAACGGGCCGTGAGAGAGCAGACTCCTCGGTGGGCCATTCATGTAGCCGACAGCCCCAGGGCCGTTGTCACCTCCGCCAGGGCAATTGGGCAACGGTAACTGGGCGATCGCGCACGAAAGCGGCTTGCCTGACTGACAAAGACTGGCTTGACTGTAGATTGAGCCTGTGTTCATCGGGCCCGGAGACGTGGAGTCTGTATCCACGAGACGGTTGGACAGCGGCTGAGGGCTACCGTTCGAGGTGGGCGAGGCGAAAAAGCCCATAGAGACGGGTGTATAGAGGGAAGACGGTGGGGGAGGAGCCAAGACGGAAGGAGGTGGCGGTGGCGGTGGCGGCCTTAAAGGTGCCTGGTGGCTGTATGAGGTAGTCGAAGACGTCAGACCTCCAGGCGCCAAAGGGCTGACCGTTGTCGCCATGGTGGTGGCCGAAGCCGTGCCACTGCTAGCACTTGTGCCGGAGGCATTGCTCTCGGGCTCGCCACTGCCACCACCGCCTGAGCAACTTCCGCCGGAAGGCAGGCTCGTAGTACATACCAAACCGTTGCCCAGTCCCAGACCCATGCTGCGTCCGAGCCCCTGGTGTCCTGGACAGCCGGGATCTGCGACATTTGGGTTAATGCAAGTGGTGATGGCGGGGATGAAGCCGGCAGGGGAGCGACTTTTGAGTGGCTGATATTGGCCAATACGTGAAAGTTGTTGTTCTCGCTGCTGCTGCTGCTGTTGTTGCTGTTGCCGCTGTTGCTCATGTTGCTCATGCGGCTGCCTTTGCTGCTTCTGAAGGTCGAAGGCGCTTAGATTCTTTATGGTAATCACATTGGTGCTCATGTCGCTGGACATTAGCAGGTCGGCTGGAGGAAAATCAAAGAATGATTGTCAAAAAGAAATGGTTCCTATACGAACATTTATTTTCTATGAAGAATCATTAACTTGACGCACACAGCCAAAGAATACCGCCAGTTTTTGACCTAAGTAGACAAGAAGTACATCAATTTGCTGTTTATTTTGCCTCTTGCTGCATATAGACATAAGATATCCTCACTTTGATCACATTTATTTTCCATGACATTCACTT